TCACATGTACATATATATATATATATGTAATTTTTATTTTCTTTAGTAAGTTGAAACAGGCTAGAATTTTTTTTGGTCTTTTTTGAGATAGGGTATTTCTGTAGCCCCAACTGACCTGGAACTTGGTATGTAGACCAGGATGGCCTCAATTTCACAAAAATCTTCCTGCCTCTGTCTCTTGAGTTCTGGGATTAAAAGCATGTCCCACCATGCCTGGCTCAGGCTAGAATTGTTATATATCCTAAGTAATTTTTGATTTGGGAGGTATGGATGCACACATAAGAATAATGAGACTTAAATCCAAAATATGGATAGGACTATCTAATAGAAGGTCAATGAAAGTGAAGAGGATTAAGTATATTGCTGTGTCATGAGAGATTCCATCTTATATTTTCCATGCAGTCTGATCCACATATAATGATTTTTCAGAAGCCTGCATTGAACGATGCATTGCACATTTATACAATTGTTTTCTCATCTTCAGCACTGACTTTCTATTGCCAAGAAATATGTTCTGTGGTCAGTTAAAATGATTAAACCATATTCTTCAGGAAGAAGTTGGTTTCAATGTGGCTATTACATTTTTAAAGCCAGAAATGGAAATACAATTTGATGATGGCATACAGAAAAGCTAATCAAAACATACCCAACTGAGAACTCAGTTCTGTTCTTTTCCACCAAGATTCTTTGGATCATACTAAACAAGAGCTGCAGTAGCAGAAACAGCCACAGCCAGCTTGGCTGCATAGGAAGACAGCAACCAGGCTCCATCTTGTCAGTGCACAGTGGGGGTTGCTGGCACCACTGTAGAATGCTTGCCTTCTCAGCCAGGCTGGGAGGAGCAGCTGTTGCCCTCTCCCAGATAAATGACACGTTGGAGGAGAAACACAGTCCTAATTAGATAGGGATCAATTCCTCTTTCCAGCCGCTGCTCCCTAAAACAAAAACACAACTAAAAAAGTCCACATTTTGATGAGTAAAATCTCACTCTGTTTCAGACCAATGAATGTGTCCACTTCTTTGGTTACATTTTTCTCCTTTCAAAATGCCAAGACAACCATTTTCAAAATCTTGAGCATGTGTAGCCAACTCATACCTTTATAACCAAGTTGTTCTTGAATTTATTTAGCTCCCGATACATTTAATATCTGAAGTATAACACAGTAGACTTACAGCCTTTGTTTTATTTTTCATTTATTATTCATTATTTCATTTCTCATTATAGAGAACTATTTTATAAGTAACAATGAATTTTAAGCACAACTAAGAAAGCAATACAGGAATTATGGCATTTTGTACATAAAACATTAAAGTTCAAATTAAATACATAAATGCTAAATATATATAAAATATCCTGAAGGAAACACAATACATTAAGATAACCCTAATTATACAGTTTTCTTTCACAGAATTATCTTTCACAGATAACTGAAATTAAATGCAATTCAGAAAATTTACAAATGAGTGTGATTTACTGCTATAAGAATAATTAGATAAAAGTAAATGTAAGAAAAAAAGAAAATACATTATTAAAATCTAAGAATAATCACTTTAAATAATTATATTACTAAAGTCACACAACCAGTTCAGAAATTCATTTCACCATGAGGTCATTGATTATTTTTGTCTGGGCCTTGTATAACATTCATGCTCTAGGGAATGTGTTTGGCCTGAGGACACAGTAGGGAATGGAGGGATATAGATGCTGCCCATGTGAAGGTTCCAGTCTAGTGGAACACAGACTCCTACAATACCACATGAGCAACTCTAGGTGGTGGTCATCGGGGTTTCCACTCTAAACTATGCAACATCTGAGCCGAGATCTGCAGGGTAAGAGCGAGTGAGTCAGTGGAAGAGGGGCAGAAGGAGGAGGAAAAAAAAATTCAGGTAGATGGTGAAGGAAATACAAAGGCATTGAGGTGCACGAGCCATGGACTTGTCTATCACAGTAGTTTCCGTCAAAGGCCTTCAGACACTTGTTGGACTATAATGAAATTTTCCCTTGTCAGTGAGGAAATGAGAACAACATGGTCAGTCTTTTCAAAGATAACGTCATCTAATTTTAATGACTGAGTTTATTACCATCTTATTTAATGGCATTTCAAGGAACAAAACCTTTTTAAAAAAGGAGATGATGATAGCAGATGACACCTTTTGAAAAATTTTCAAAGTAATGAAACAAAAGCTACTGGTGCTATAAAACCATAAAACCTGGGACTCACTGGAAGAATAAACTTGTAGAAGACGTGTAACACATCTGAAGGGGGGAAAAGAAAGAAGACATTGAGACAGGCTAAAGAGGACATGGGGAGTTAGATCACGAAGGCCTTGTGAGAACTCTGTGTTTTAACCTGTGAGCAACAGGGGTGATTTTGAGGAGGGAAGACAGCGCTGCTTATACCTGGGATGCTGTATGTAGACTGTGGGGGGGGTCAGGGCAAAACAAGATGGAGAAAAGCCACTTTAGCAGCACTGTATAACTTCAGGAAGGAAAAGATTACAGTCAAGCACAGACCAAATTGGTGAGACTGAATAGAAAAAGATAGTTTCAAGAAGAAACTATCAAAAAGATAGTTTCAAATAATGGCATTTGCTGATTTGTTATGCTAGTTGAGAAAACGGGTGGTCAGGGCTGATGTCCAGACTTTTCCTTTGGAAACTGAATTGATTATCAACAACTGAAATAGATAATGTAAGAGAAAGAAACGTTTTGTGCAAAAAAGCTTGAGTTCATTTGGGGATGTGTTGCATTTAAGTATCTTTATGATCGCATGTCCACTAGGCCAGTTGTCTAACAAGTCTGAAGCATAGGAGCGAAAGGGTTGAACTTCGGTTATAAAGTTTATTGTTGCCAGTGAAATGATTGCAACCACGCAAGTGGATGAAATTTCCCAGAGAATATAGCATAATAGAAAAGGACTTAAGACCCATCACTAAAGGACTGAATGTGGATGTGCAGCATAGAAAGAAGGCAGGCAGAGAGGTCAGGGAAGAGGGCTGAGAGGGAAAGGAATAATTTATGTATAGTAAAAACCAAGAAAGGAGCAGGTAGTAGTGTTAGATGCTGCAAGAATCAACCATAAGAGGGAAAGTGGGTTACTGAATTTAGTAACAGGATTTGTTAGTGACCATGAGCAGTATAATAGAGGGTTCAGCAGACACCAGATTACAGCATGTGAACCAGCAGGTACAAAGGAGCTCTTGCAATGCAGGAGTTCTAGCAAAAAGAGAATAGGACAGCCACTGGCAGATGTGTGTGGGTTTGAGAAAATGACTATTTGCTTTTTAAACCTAGAGTCTCAGTCATTGATACTGTAGGAGTCAGTTGAGAGGGAGAATTTGAAGACTGAAGATAATCAATAAAAATTCAAACACAAAATATTGATTATTTTAAAAATATGTAAAAGTCTTTAACAATCTATGACATGTTCTTCCCATGGTAACACAATATACCTATAAAATTCTCAGTGGATTCAAATCTGCTTAAGAATGGAAAATGATTCAAGCAAATCTCTGGGGAAATCATATTTTAAAATACTTTTAAAATCAAATTTAAAAATATTATTTTGAGCTTATACTAATTTTAGCTGTTGGCCATAGAGGTCATATTCTTTAAATAATAAGTATTTTCGAATAGCTGCTGGGAGAGGGAGCTTCTCCATGGAGGCTGGCTGGCAAAGTCGCTGGAGTCCCAGGAGTCTTCGGATTTTTAATCGGCACAAATGCTTTAATGAGCAAGGATTCTCTAAAATGAAGGGGAAAAACAAGAAAACATTTAGAACAATGTTACTGGGTTCACCTTAAGACACAGACCGAGAATAACATGAACAGTGTTGTCCTGGAAACGAGTATGTGCATCCTAGCAGCTGATGATTTTGAGATTCACATTTCAATAAAGTGTCTCAGTCATCTCCTGGATCGTGCAAGATCTGTGAGGATGGACATTCCACCTGTATCTGTGCCAGGAGCAAAGTATGACTCTTATGGGTGTTCAACTACAATTTGTTAAATGAATGAATGGATTTGATTTTTAAGAGTAAATACATCTTTAACTTAAAAAAAAAAAAAACACCTAAATATGGGTCTGGAGAGATGGCTCCATGGTTAAGAGGACTGAGTGCTCTTGCAGAGGACCCAGGTTCGATTCACAGCACCCACATGGCAGCTGACAACCATCTGTGACTCCAGTTACAGGGGATCCAGTGCCTTCTAACCTCTGAGGGCATTTCGTGGGTGCACTTGCACATATGCAGGCAATGCACTCATACACATAAAATAAAAATAAATTATTAAAAATAAAATAAAGACCTAAATATTATACAGACATATTTCTTTGTGTCCTCTCTCTTCTACCAGTCTTTCTGATGAATAATTTTCCAGGAAATATCAGGCAATGATTCCATAAATTGTTCATGACTTAACCTGAGGTTTGTTTCCAGAATCTGATAGCTAAACATTGGAGATATATAAAACAGATACTAACATTGATATATCTGATGCTAGCCTTTCTTTTCAAGTCTTACTTTATATTAGAGTTACAACACTGATATGTTATACCAGCAAAATGAACTAGTGGAAGGGCAGCATAATACAAAAGTTTAAATGTCAGCTGGGATTAAAATACTGGCGCTGTCACTTAGTGTTTGTGTGACCTTGACAAGTGGCTTATGCCCTGTGATTTTTGTATTGTCATTTGTGAAAAGGTGGATAACAATGGTACCTACTTCATAGGACTGTCTGAAGACTAACACATCAGTTCATATAAATCATTAGAAACGTCCTTGATATATTGGAACCATAATATTCAAAATGTTAGGGCGTTGGAGAGATGGCTCAGAAGGTACAGCGTTTCCGATGAAAGCTTGAGGACCTGAGTTCTATACCCAGAACCTATTGCAAAATGTTGGAGGACATGGTAGCTCATGACTGTAATCCCAATGTTGGAGAGGCTGACACAGGTAGATCTTTGGGGCTCTGCCTGCCTAATGAAAGAACCAGATTCCAGTTAGGGGCTCTGTCTCAAAACACAAGGAGGATGGTTCCTGCTGAACAACACCTGAGGTTTGCTTCTGGTCTCCATATGCACATACATACACATGCATATTCACACACACACACACACACACACACACACACACACACACACACACACACTGTTAGGGACCATTCATTTCAATAACAAAAGTGATCTCATTTTTGTTACATTTAAGGCCATAAACATTCAAATTGCATTTTTTTAATAATAAAGCAAGGCTAGCCCTCTCAGTATATGACTGTAGTTTCAGTCATCTGGGAGACTGAGGCAGGAGGATCCTGAGTTTAAAGTCAGTCAGAGCTACATAGAGAGTTCACAGCAGCCTGGGCTGCATAGCAAAAACTTGTCACCAAAAAATCATAACACTTTCCACAAACTTGAGACAAAATACTGTCATCAAAATAGGTGCCTCCCATGCTTTAATAAGATTGAAATTTTACATTTTTCCTTAACAAATACACTGCCTTACCTATAGCTGGAGGTACCCTGACATCCAGTGGTTACCAGGCTCATAGCAATCAGCTGAGAAGTTGGTTGGATAAATAAACCACTGAAATAATAGAAAACATACTGGCTTCATTCTTACTTGGAATATCTTTCTAAAATCATCATAACTAGGAATACTTTTGCAATAAAAACATATGGGTGATTAATTCTCATTTCCAAGAAAAATATGTACTATTTATGGCAGAAATAACTGTGATATTGCAGGAAAAATTGATGTTTTGAAGTAATAAACCTGTTATTCCCCAGGTTTATAACTTTGGGAAATGAATTTATCTCTACTTTAGTGGTGTTTTCCTTTGGAAATAGCCAAACCATTTAAGTTCTTGTATTTGAAAATTTTACATATAGAGAGACAAACTACCTGCATGTATAGTTTCCTAGGTTATAAGTGATAATTAGGTGATCATGCTGACTACCTTCCGGGTGATGAAATAGAACTTTGACAGCCACTAGAGAATATCTTCCACAGCTTTACCATTCTTCATCTCCTCCTCCTGTAAATCAGCAGGATTCTGACTTATATAGCAATCATCCCTTTTAGAATTTCATCATCTAAGTAAACTATCTCTATTCTAAGGACAGGACTGACAAACTTTGAAAACAGTGATGACAATTATGAGATGTCCTTTAAGTATCTTTCAATCTTCAGATTCTTCTTTCTATGCATTTTTGAATCCTGTCAGTTAATCTTAACCCAAATGTCCACGTTTTCTCGCAGCTGGAACTTTGATGACTGCATTGTCATGTTCCACTATCTTCTCTATTTCTTGAAAATTGACAGCTGGATCCAGAAATGGATCGTACTCAGGGCTGATCTCTCTGGCAAACTATACTCTTTCATCTGGTGCCACCAGAATATGATGTTGACAATAGTTAATGTGTAATGATTGTATCTACACATTTATTGGGGGGAATAAAATAACTATGTACTGATTTCATGTATTATTTGAGAATCTTTCACAAAGAATTTTTGCTCATCTCTTTTTTGGTTATTAGTGGCATGCCATAACAATAGGACAAATGGCTTAAATATTTTAACAGTTTTCAAGATAATAAGTTGATTTTGTATCATCCTTTGGAACTGATCAGTTTTTAAGACACATGTATTTAAACATTTTGGACATGTTTCAACCCATTGAAACAATTATGTTTCTGAAACTTAAATGGTTCTATGTTGGGCCAGTGGAATCTCTTCAGATTGGGTCATGGACTCTTCTGATCTGGTTCTGGCAGTCACTCAGTTTCTTGGCTGCCTAGTCTGAGCAGATGTTCCAGGATCATCCTTGTATATTTCCTTCCTCACATTGGGAGTTATCAATTCCTTTTTACTTTTTGTAGAAATTAGAATTTCCAGACCAAATCTGTATGATAAGGATGCTCAAAATATTAGGTCCATTGCTACTTATAAGCATTTCTGTGGACAGACATACACATACAAGTTCACACATATAACAAGCATTAATCTCTTGCACACAATACACTCCTACTGATATTTCCAACTCAAATTGAGGACTACAGGATTTTTAAAAAATCATCTTCTGCATTACATCAGTATTTCCTTTATTTCATGGTTCTTGAATCTCAAGAATACAAATAAAATAAAATAAAATATCCCTTAGTTACCCAGTTACTGAATACACCTTTTATTCCCAGTATGACAATACTAACATATCACTAAGGATATTTTAAAGTGAATATTTATGTATTATGATTAAATATTATTTCATTTATGCATTACAGTATTAAACATGTGTGAAAATATCTATGCCATCAGAGTGCATAAGGACTGCATGTTGTCATCTCTCTTTTGACTCTCTGTCTTAGCATTATGTCTGATTAGTCCTATTCAGTTTTACTATGCTGTTATCTCTCTAATCATTTTGAGTTGTACAGAGTCCAACTTCTTAAACTGTGGGTTACACCCTCATGTGGAATCACCTAATTGAATGTGGAATAGCAGAAACTTGGCAATATGGGGTTGGAGAGATGGCTTAGCAGTTAAGGGCACTGGATGCTCTTGCAGAGGACGGGTTAGATTCCTAGCACACATAGCAACTAACAACCATCCATAACTCGAGTTCCAGGGGAATCTGGTACCCTCTTCTGATCTCTGTGAACATTGCACGACATGGGTGCAACCTTACAAACATGAAGGAAATATACTCATACACATAAAACAAAAACAATAAAATATTTTTAAATAAAATATTGCTTTAAAAATGTTTCTTTTTAAATAAAAATATTTCTAAATGTCCAATGAAACATTAATTCTAATCAAATGCCTGAGTTTTTTTGGTAGTGTTTGCCCATGTCGCATTGAACAACTTCATTGCAGTCTCGGTTCTGAACACACAACATGCACACACTGTACTACATCTATCTTCAAGCCACCAAAGCCAGTTAACACTGCCTGAAATGTCTTGGCTTAAAATTGAGATGCCTGAATGTCGTGAGTTGTATTGTTTTTACTGTTCACTAAAAGTTTTCTGCTCTTATAGAAACCTAACAATTCAATTTTGAAAAGCAAATACTTTCGATATTTTCCTCCTATAATTCTTCAGCATCTAAGTATTCAATTAGTGTATCTTTGGATTGGATTGGATTGGATTAGAATATTTGATATTAAAAATCCTGTTTGAGTTACATGAAAAATCATTAAATGATTTTGGCTTGGGATAAGGAGAGAATTTCCAAAAACATCTGAAAAATACCTTAATATTTTGTCTTATAAATTTATGTGAAACAGTGTTCTCAGCATTGACAATTTTAAAATCAACTCCAAAAAGCATAGAGGATGCTCTGTATTCCATAGTATCAATTATTTAGGGAAGATTTAATCCTTTATGTGAAAATAAAGAAGTACATCTATCTCATTAGTATGCAAGTTTACTTTCCTCTTTAAGAAATGGTAGCATTATATATATGCCAAAAAATTATTTTAAAATAAATTTATGATTTATTACCAGGAGGCATTTGGTTCATAAACCTATTTTATACACATATCCAGCATTGCATAAAATGTTTTGAGGCAAAACGGGTTATGAATGGAAGAGTTTAAGAAACCCACAACCAACCAACGAAAAAAAGAAAATTTTAAGGGGCTGGAGAGATAGCTCAGTGGTTACGAGCATCAGCTGCTTTTACAGAGGACCCAGGTTCGGTTCCCAGTACCCACATGGCAGCTAGCAATTGTTCATAACTCCAGTTCCAGGAGATCCAATGTCTTCTTCTGGACTCTACAGTCACGGCACACATGCATTATACATACATACATACACACAAGGAAAATACTCACATACATAAAATAAAAATAAATGAAACATTTTCTCTTACCAAGTATTTGGCGGATTTCTGGCCATTCTCTCTGTACTTCTAGTGCAGACTTCAGCTTACCGCACAGAGGGACATAATCCATATAATCTATTAGGATACGGACAACGTTGCCTACCAGGTGTTTCATCCACGGAACTGTAATAAACTCACAAAACTGAGAGAATTGATAAAAATTTAATTTAGTGATACTTTTAATATGCCTATACATAAGCAGTGTTACTATGAAAAATTATTCTGTCTTTTATAGGAAATTAGCTATTCTTGCTTATCACAAACAAAAATGAAAAGCAGATGTCTTCCTTATTTCTTTGAAATAATAGTTCTGAAGACATATGCAGGGTTCTGATGTGACAGAGGGAACATATTTGGAAGAGCCATGCTTTTTTCTATCCAGCTCCAATGTTCCACCAATTAAGCACAAGTGAAAAATTGCATAAATTTTTATATAGTTTGACATTCTGTTTTTAATTCAAGAAAATAAACAGCATCTTTTCATGGTAATTTTATGCTTGTTTATCCATATTAGTACCAAAAAGTCAAGAATAAGAAACACAAAATTAGAATTAATTCTGTAAGTAACATACTTAAATGTCAGAGTTTATAAGTTAAGCTGCAGAATATATGTTCTTAACAGTACATGGAACATCCTTCAGGCTAGATTATATGTAAGACTATTAAAAAGCACTTAATAAATTTCTAAAATTTCAATGATGTTTTCTGAACACAGTGGTATAAATCTAGGAACCTGTAACAGGAAAAAAAATCTAGAAATTTTTTAAATGAATAAAAATTAAACAGCATGCTCTTGATCAACTTATGGACCATTGAAGAAATCAAAATGGCTTACAAATTAAAATTTAGAAGGATTGCTGAAACAAATGTGAGTTAGGACCCAATATGAAGAAAAGAAAGATGTGACTCACTGGGTTATCTTTTATTATGCAAGGTGTCCATCCTGGCAGTACTTCTTCCTCTATCTCTGACCATACGAATGAATTTCCAAAGATGTCTCCGTGCTTGCAGTCAAAGCACAGCTCCACCTGGTAACCATTATTCAGCAGCAGCCTCAGCATGACCTCGTCATTTAGAGCATACTGAATGGCACTGGGGAAACGAGTGTCATTCACATGCATAAAATAACAATTGACATTAGCTCCATAGGAGAGAAGCAGCCGGACAATTTCGTGACTATTGGCCCTTACTGCGACAAGCAAACAGTTGAGGGGATCTAAGTTTGGATCCGCACCTGCAGCCAGAAGGACTTCTGTGCAATGAATATCATTATTACAGACGGCGAAGTACAGTGCAGTCTTCCTCTCATCATCGTAGCTCTGGGAAATGTGGTCAGCAAGCAGGGCATTGACATCAAAACCATTGTCAATGAGCAGTTCCAGGCACTGGGTGTTTTGTCCGTCTGCTGCTGAGTGAATTGGAGTTAGCCCACTTTTCCGAATTGCATTTTTGGATGTAACTGGGATAAGATATTTCAGAGCTCTAAAACAAACAAAAAACTCCTACAATATTCCCATTGCATAAAGAAAATCAAGTCATTAAACAAATCTGTCTCACTAGACAAGTGAATGATTTATTTAGATTTTTTATTTTCTCTACATAATTTTGTACTGAAATGCTTAACCTCTGTCCACCAAGATATCCTGTTTAATATAATGTAATTTAGTTGAGTTTTAGTTTGTCTTTCCATTTGAAATATTCCAGGGAGTATCCTGGATAATATCAGGAGTATCCTGATAATAGGTGTGAGTCCTCACAACTATCCCCCACTTCCAGTTCAATGAACAATAAAATTTGTGAAATCAACAGATAAATACTGCAAAGGTTATAAAAGAGAGTAAACTCTTCTGATGGCAAACAAGCATTGCATAATCATGACTACTAGAAACCACAGAGTCTTGGGAAGTGAAATCTGGAAGTGACCTTGAACATTGCTAAGCATAACCCTTTTATTTAAAGAACAATATGAAGTCTTAAAATGGAACATGACTTGTCCAAGGTCACACAACTACCTATGGAAAAAAGGGCTGAATTTGAATATTTTGATCCTCACTTATTATTTCTCCTTCACTGTGTCCTAAGCCATGAACTCTTTAATACTGTCCATGTACATCTTGTCTCCTTCTATACAACTCAAAAGTAAGTTTTTAGAAAAAGAAGAATCTGTACTATTCCATCAAACCTACATTCATCTACCTGAAATAGCTGACCCCAGCTTATATTTCTAAATACATGTGAGAAATACTTGTGAATTCACACTCCACTAACCAACTAGGATTCATGAGAGCCCCAAGCAAAGATAACTTGATCTCCTGTGCCTAATTCAGAGCTACCATGTGTGAATTTATGAACACTGGGAGTAAATCCAGGTAAACTTTAACAACATGTCACTTAGCATCAATTATGTGTCATTGGCCCCTTAACTCAGCCAGTGTGGCTGCTGGAAATGGTAAAGCCTATCTATTTCAAAGTTTTTGAACTTACAAAACATATTTAATTTCTTAAAACTACCTTCTCCTGGTGAATAATTTAATACTGTATTCTAGGCTTCTACTACTGTGTTGGTTGTAACACATTTTATGATTTAAAAGTCTATCCAATATTTGTGCAGAAAAATAAATCTAAACTTATAGTGGAACTTGTATTCAAGAATACACTTATCATTATAGTATATCCTAGTAATGCTAAGAAATAATTGAAGAAACACATAGCATTGTTACAAATTTTAATCCTTTAATCAAAGACAATTTTTTAGAAATTTTTAAACCTTTAGTTAAACCAATTATTTTTAAACTGAAAGTCTTGCCAGTTTGTGAAGAATTCTCAATTATAACTTTATTCCTTCTAAAAAGAGATTTTATGTTATTATGCTACTTTTCTGGATTGTATACACTAAAAGTAGTATAAATTCATTCCATGGATAGTCAAGACTAAAATGAAAGAAGAATAGCAAATTATAAACATTTAAACAAAGAACTTGTGATCACTTTCTTTGGATGTAGGGGAGTATCATGTAGAGAAACTTGTGATTGTACTGGATATACACCAGCATTTTAAAACTTAAAGTGACAATTCATAATATCTTACTTACAAATAATGTCCTTCATAGGCAGCTCGGTGTATGGGAAGATGTCCTGCTCTGTTAGGCACATTTCCACTCCCTCCATATTCCAACAAGAGAGAAATGCAGTCAGGGTTTCCACCTCCTGCTGCCTCAAATAACACGGATGCCCCATCATCAGCCAAAGCAAACACATCACCACCTGGCAGAGTAAAGTATGTGCTTAAGATGACTGAGCAACATTGTTAGGTTGGCCCCTTAAAAATAACCTGTTTACTTTCCTTGCTAGTTAAAGCTTAACAGTATAGAATTTTGACCACTTATATTTTCCATAGTTTCAACAATAGCTAGGCAACGTGCTTCAATTTATTAAAATCTGGGGGAGAAGGAGCCACAAAAACATGAGAGAAACCAAGCCAGTTGCAGTGATGGACAAATGTTTCCAGAAAAAAAGCCATCATTAGACATTTTCACTTAAGAATAATGTTTAACATTTCAATTCAACAAATGTTTATGGATACCTCTATGTGTGACCCTAAAATGAATGAGCCTGACTATCTAAGGAGCTTTAAGGGAAGACGAAGTAAGATGTATCTAGAGAATACATGTGGTATGACACTGGAGTGACATCTATAGTAGGAATCTACTGCAAGGAAGAAGGCCATGCTTGATTATGGATCTGCTGCTTACATGAAAACTGGGCTGTGCTTTCTATGTGTCTCCGTGCCTTCAACTGCAAACTAGTTGTAGCATATTTCCCAGGGACTATGTAATAATTCTATGAGGTTACATTGAGAGACATAAAAAGTGTCAGTTTTTGTCCCATAGAAGATCCACTGGGATCACGTGGTCCTCACCTGCATGTATGTATGAGGAATCTGAGGACTGGGCACTTAAGTAGACAAAGGTCTGAGTAAGTGTAGAAACCAAGTTAGGATCTGTATTTTTAAATTCCTGATTGTACAGTTGTATAAAGCACTTTGAGGACTTGAGGTTGGGTAATGTCATGATCTGTTGAGAGATTTAAAAAAGGATTTAGGAGAGTGTTTTAAGAGTTTGACTTTGAATTTTGTGTTAGAGCATTCTGAATCAGGCCAAGGGCATGACCTAAGCTGAGGCAAAGAGAATTGATACTCTCTTTTGGTTGGAGTGTAAAATGCAGGATTGGAACAGTGAATTATTTTAAGTGTTTTGAACAGAATACACCATTCCAGCTATTGTTGAAGAGGAGGAAGTACAATGCAGGATGTAGCATGGATTTTCTGATGAGGAGAATGGAAACCTGGAGAATAGTTAGCAAATGATCACACTGGTTCAGGGAAGATGGAAGGGACCTAAAAGCTGGCAGACAGATGGTAAGAGGAGGACAAGAGAAACTTTGGGTCTTTGCAGCTGTCTGGGTTTAAGAAAGTGTGTGGTAGAGGATTTAGAGATAAAGCCAACCTCTCAGTCCTGGTTAAGAGAGAGATTGTTACATCAGGAGGTGGGAAAAAAAGCAGGAATTCAGCAAAGAAGATTATATAGTAGAGCCCTTCCAGCCTGCTGTGTGGAAACTGGGCTGTTTCTGGAGAGAGCAATCAGGACTGGTCACATAGATCTGCAGGTCACAATGCATAAGGCTTGACTGGTTGAATTGGGGTCTAATGAGGAACTCTGGTTGAAAGCATCACACCAGCTACTTTCAGAGAGGAGGAGCCCACAAGGAAGGAAGAACAAAGTCTGAGAGCAGGAAAAAATACAGAGCAGAACACCACCTTTCACGTACCTTTGTGGATTAGATGCTCCAACACATCGCAGTGACCATATTCAGCGGCGACTCCTAGCGGTGTGACTCCAAATCCATCTCTCAGGTGGACATTGCCTCCGTGATTCAATAGCAGAGCTGTGATATCTTTCCGGCCTTGTTTGGCCGCTTCATGCATTACTGACCACCGCTTGACACTGGGCTGGTCAAGGCTTGTGTTGTATTTAATCAGAGTAGAGACCATGTCATAGGAGCCCTTTTTCACAGCTTGAAAGGATTTTTTTTTTAAAGAACAGCCAACAGAAAGGCATATCAATATGAATACTTTACATGAAATTAAACTAATTACCAAATTTAATATCAAAACAGATATTGGCTCTTCCTTTTCCTTCTGCAAGGGTTGTATTTCTTGTGTTTTTCAAATGCTTTTTATTTCTCATGCCTGCATTTCTATTTGTGGCATCTAAGTCTGCAGCATACTGTCTTTTCTTCGGACTCAGAGCAGGGTAAGTTTTATGGAAAATGCTCATCACCAGGATAGAATGTTCTGAGTATACTCTCCAAACTTCATTCTCTTTCCCAATAAATAGGAATAACATTTACTATCAGGTTAAAAAAATTAAAGAATATATATAAAACATTTAATATAGTACCCCATATATAATAAGAGCACAGTAAATTATTCTTAGTATCAATATCATTTCTAGGACTCTGGAGCTCCGTGTGTAAATAATATTCATCATTTTCCCCACAAAACGAATATTATTTTTCCTACCAAAATAGAAGTAAACACTATTGAACTTTACTTTCCTATAGTCTGTGACAAGCTATCATTAGGATGGTATAGAATCTAGGTTGGTCAGCTGTTCTGAGTGGATGAAGTATGTGCTAGTTAATGAAGTATAATTTAAGAGGGTCAATAAATGTGATGTCGCTTCCCTGTTGGTCTTCACTGTTAGAAGTATTTTTTTCCCATTTTGAATTTTTAGGATGTTGTCTCTGTTTAGATCTGAATACACTGGAAAGATGTGACTTTTTTTCTTATTAATACATAAAGTCTTTTTAGGATATAAATCACTTAGATTCACTTATAATAGTCACTCACTTATTCTGTCCATCAGTTAGTATGCACACCTTATATGAAAGACCCTGTGCTAGGCATAGCAGACCACTGAAAGGAGAAGCCCATGCTGTATTCTCTCTGAAGAGAGACTCAAAGCCTCTCTTTGAGAGGCTGGGGAAAGCAGGAGATTGTTGCTGGGGAAAGCAGGAGATACGAAGCTTCATAGAACATTCTAGACAGGAAGGGAGTAGAACACAGAAAGGGACTGAGGCTGAGAGTAAGAAAATGATTCCAAAGGAGGATGAGGGTGAACTTTGCCTTCTTCCTTTGAGCAGGGTCTGTGTTTGCTCCTGTTTATTGCTGGACTACAGTCTGGTGACCAGTGCCTTACTCTGGCCTGTCCACCTGCCACTTTGGCTCTAATTGTGGTGAATCACCTCATCTTAATGGGTGTTACTGCAGAGCGAACACAGCAAGTTAAACAGACTATGTAGAGAGTTCCTTTTCTTATCTTCTTGCTAGTCTTTCCATTTTTTAGGTTTTAGAAAGATCTCACAATAATGAACCTCTTCCTTTCTGATGCTGCCCTCTCCTTGTACTCATGGAACATACTGAATAGCAAGAATAGTCTTTATTTATGAAAACAACAGTGTATCCTCAACTTAAAGTAATTTCTTTTGGTCTTTTTGAGACAGGGTCTACCTGTGGCCCCAGCTGGCCTGGAACTCATTATGTATACCAGGCTGACCTAGAATTCACAGAGATCTGCTTGCCTCTACCTCCCTAGAGCTGGAATTAAAGGCATGTGCCACCATGCCCAGTTTAAAGTAATTTGTTTTAAAAGTAATTTCTTAAAAAATCAAAGTGTCATTTAATTTAATAATTTGGAAGAATATATTTTTCAAAGAAACAATGATGCAAATGGTAGGAACTCATCTCCCCAGCTAACCCATAAAGACAATCTAAACTAATAACTAAATGAAATAATGAAAATTCACAGGGCATCTCATTAGTCTA